TATATATATATATATTAAAGATCAAAAACCCTTCCACTTCTTCCAGTACTCTATCTCTAAGTTCTAACGCTTAATTCCTAAATAATCAGAACTCTTACGTACTATGCATCAGAGGATCCCATGCTTAGCTTAGCTTAGCTTATTCTCCCACCCTACAACAAGATTGTTTAAGTTGATGTCTATGGTTCACCTCTGCTTTTGTTTTTTAAAACTAATGCATGTTGTCTATGTTTAATAGAAGAACAGCAGTGTTGTGCCACATCTTTTTTCACTCTATAACACATGACACACTACATCATTCTTATGTAGGCGTTAACAGACATGTACGTCTGGACTCAATGTATAATTTTCTATTCTGAATTTGTATGCTAGGCGGTCAGCAAACAATTAATACATGCAATATAGATTAAATTAGGCCGATAAACCGCCCAATAACCGCCCGATAAGAGCTAAATCGATACCAATCCGCCCGATATCTTATCGGGTGGCTAGCAGATTAATACATTTAAAAGACGATAACCGTTAAGCCAAACCGTTAAGAGTAATTAACCGCCCAATCCGCCCGATAAGCAGCCCTAGCCTCATTTACATCCCTAGTTTCATTTGATAGGTGTGAGTTATAAATCATATTTGAAGTCGATTTGACACTTGATTTATAATGGTCTATACATGACAATTGCTGATTATAAGTGTTCATAATTGCAATTTATAAGTCACATTTGGATTGCGATTTATAAGTCGCATTTGGTGATTGCGATTTATAAAAATCATATGATCACGTTTTATAAACGCATTTGACAATCAATTTATAAGTCGCATTTGATAAAAATCATATTTGACAATTATAATTGATAAGTCGCATTCATTTGTGATTTTTTTTTTAGCAAATATACCACTAGGCAGACTGCCTAGTGGCTAGTATATATATAATAAACAAAACCAAGGATCCAATGTTTACAATTTGTCCAACAAAATCTCAAATATGCTAAGCTAGGGCTAAAGCTAATGAAATAAGAAATGCTAACTATTAAATATAGTGTCATAGCCAACTCCCCACATTTGATGATGCGTGCATCCACTAGCCAAGTGCAAAACCTCAATGTAGCACCTCTAATGCTCTCACTAGGCGCCAAGTTTTGCTTTCCAAAGAACAAGGCAAATGTGAATCTCCAAGCAATACCACCAATTGGAAGTGACCAGTAATCCATGTAGATTACCAACTTCATGAACAATGTAGGCAACAATTTTGTCTTCCCTGCATAATGTGAATGTAGTCCAGGCCAAAAGATACCTATGTAGAATGAAAATAGCCAAAGAGATACAGTGAAAGGTTTCATTTCCTGCAATATATACCACACGTCTGCACTGCCATAACACCTCCAGATTGGACATGTATACATGTCAATACCACTGAATAATGTCATGACATTACAAAGCATACTAATCTGAGACATTACACCTTCCAGTAACATTGAATGATCCTTCAGAAAACCTTGTGGAATTGAAGTTTTGTAAGCAATAAACATAAAGCTCTTGTAGGCCCCTATGTGATACAACAAACAGTTATGTGCATTGCCATTACATCTCCAGATTGGGCATGAAATCATACCAATACCACTGGCTGATGTCCTAGCAGTACACGTATACAAATAAGTAACCACCAATCCTGTTGATACCATTGGATTCCAGCTTTTGCATTTCAACAACCATTGATCAAATACATGTTCATAAGTAACACATAAACAGAAGTCAATTCAAAGGATATACCGAGACTCATGACTAGACATTAGACTTTCCAGAAACATTATAAGATGAGCGTTGTAACCTGCAATAGGAATCTCATGCCTGCTTTGCCATATATCCTCCAACATGGATATTTAACCATATCAGTAGCACTATATGAGGACATGACATTACAAAGTGTACACTCATCAGCTGTTATTCCATATAATACCATTGAATCCCTGCTTGTACTTCTCACAATAACCTGCGTTGCTGGTGTGTAGTGGGTTGCTATGCACGCCCTACAACCAAACTCAAATCTTACGGTGCACATCATAGTCCAACATGTTAGGATCATACACTGCCAAAAAGCATAAACAGTAGCATGTTGGCTGCGTCACAAACCACTCCAAAGTGCTGCCGTAACATATGCATACTGGCGATGTAATCACTCCACTAGCACTGGACAATGCCATAACAGTACCTAGCTCATAAATAATAAACCACTGTTGGATTCCTACTTGTCTGGATCATTTGGATCTTCTGAGAAGCGAGCTAGTAATGTATTGGAATTAAACTGGAAGCATAACTTTTCTCCCAGCTTGTCACAGCATATAAACCAGTAATTTTGATTAGTAAATATGATTCTTTGTGATATCATTTGTATACAAGTTAGTTGCTTGCCTTGAAGAGATGTTCCATACATCCTTAGTGCACTACCATATTGAGCATTATAACATGCTAATACCACTGAAAAGTGACTTAGTAATACACAAAAACATATACCAACTAGACTAGCAGCTAGCAATGTAATAACATACTTATGCATCAATCTACTGCTTTCCGTTTAGATATCCTAACCCTAAGATTAGGCACTTGTGATTTGTCAAGGTTGAGTAGTCTCTTCTCTGCACTAGGCAGTTCAGAGAAAGAATAAAACTGAAGTGTACCTGCAAAAGAAAATACAAAGCTAGCTAAAAAATCTGTTAGAGAGTTGCCCGCCCTGAACACATGCTAGAATATCACATTGAAGTGCCCCTTCATCTCCTTAATCTCATTTACTTCAGCTACTACACACCATGGAAGATCCCATTCCCCATCTATATATAATCTTCCTCATCACAAGTGAATCGGTCTCAATAATAAGAGGATGTAGGTCATGTTTCACATAGTAATGTAGTCCATCTCTGATTGCCTTAGCCTCAGCTACTATGTTAGTTGCCCTAGCATACACCAAATTTTCTTCACTGTTTCTAACACAAAACACAATAGAACTAGGACCAGGGTTACCCCTTGAGGCCTCATCTGTGTTGCACTTGTACCAGCCATTGTGTGGAACTTGCCATGTTACTCTTTTAGTCACCATAATTGGCTTGTACCCCTCCAAGCATCTGATTATATCCGGCCAGAGAGGAGGCATGTGAGGCAACCAGTTATACCTAGTCTTTGCCAAGAAATATAATGTCTTATTTATCTCATAAATTACCCTATGAACAAACACTGCTCCTCCATTCCTGTTGGTGTTCCTCATCTTCCATAGCTCCCAGGTTATGATTGCAGGTGTTGCTTGATACAAAGGTTTCAACTTCGGGCATCAAGAAGAATTCCACCATGCCTTTACCACCTGGTATACCTGCACTAATGGAACATTGATACCAGCAGCAATAAGAAAAGTCCTCCAAACCTTGGTTGCAGTAACTCCTTGAAGGAATAAATGTTCATAAGACTCTTCTTGTGGTGTTGTACAGCACCAACATTTAGACATGCAAATGTAGCCTTGTCTTTTTCACATGTCATCAGTGAGTAATTTGAATCTCCATAGCCTCCATAGAAAGAAATAAATCTTGAAAGGCAAACCCTTTACCCACATGTTCCTAATCTCAGGATTAACATTTGCCCTATGTCTTACAAGGTGACATGCACTACCCACAGTAAATCTGCCAGAAGCAGTAGGTTTCCACCAGGGTCTATCCCAGAATTCACCACTCCCCTGAAAATGCACCTGTTACTTGATGTGATCAGCAATATCTTCAGAAAACTTTTGTTCAATCAGTTCCTCATTCCATCCACTGTCTTGCCTCAGTTGAACAACTTCTTGTAGCTCCTCATTGATGTGAAAATTTGGAGGTAAAAAGTGATATAAAGCTCTTAGTCCTGTCCAATTTTCATGCAAAATATTAGTAGTTCCATCCTTCATCTCCCACCAAATCTCATGCTCCACTTCTTGTCTAGCATTCAGCATTTGGCTCCAAATATGTGATCCTCCCCTAAACTGTACAGTTTTAGGAATTTTCTTTTTGAAATACTTGTTCCACATGAAATTTGACCACAATGATTTTGTGGTCCTAAATCTCCACCATAGTTTTGCAAACAGTGACTTGGACACATCAAATAAGGATCTGAAACCTAGCCCACCTAGCCTACCTTCCTCCTTTGGAAGACACAAATTCTGCCAAGATGCCCAGTGCCTGCTTCTCCCCTCCTCCTTTGTACTCCAGAAGAACCGTGCAAACATTTTGTGAAAATGGACTATGATGTTCTTAGTTGGATCTAGTACTGATAGCATGTGAATGGGAATACTCTAAAGGACACTGCTTATCAAAGTAGTCTTGCCTCCAAACGAAAGTAATTTACCTTTCCATGAATATAATTTTGCCTTCACCTTCTGAACGAGATCATCATAATACTCCTTCCCCCTCTTTGTATAGAATATAGGACACCCAAGATATGTAAAAGGAAATGTACCCCTTGAGAAGCATGTGATAGCACCAACAGTTTGGAACAAAACATTTGCTGCATTAGCATGCATATAGTATGATCTTTTTGCTTTATTGATCAACTGCCCTGAGGTCTTCTCATAATCCTTCAGTACTGTCATGATCTTCTCTCGGGAGTCTGGATGTGCTGATACAAAAATGATGGTATCATCGGCGTATGCAAGGTGATTCAATTGATCAGTCCACTTTGGCATACCAAATCCTACAAATGACTTGTCTTCAAACAACTTGTGTAGTGATCTAGATAGAACCTCAACTGATAGGATGAATAAAGTCGGAGACAGAGGATCTCCTTGCTTAACTCCTCTAGAAGATTTAAAAACTCTTGATGACTAGCCATTCACCAATACTGAATACCAATTATTAGACAATAGACTCCATATCATATTGATGAAGTGTTCAACAAATTCTATTTTTCTCAGTACATGCAACAAGAATTTCCAGAAAACTCTATCGTATGCCTTGGTCATATCTAGCTTTATGACTACATTTACATGTTTGGCTCGCAACCTAATATCAGTAACAATCTCTTGAGTTAGGAGGATATTTTCAAAGATACTTCTACCTTTCATAAAGCCAGATTGGTTTCTACCTTTCAGAAAGCCAGATTGGTTGCTTGATATTAATGAAGGAAGTAGGCTCTCCAACCTGTCATGCAGTACTCTTGAGAGAATTTTGTTAATGAAATTGCTCAAGCTAGTAGGCATCAAGTCTGAAAATGTTTGCATTATATGCTTCTTTGGCATAAGCACTAGATTAGTATGTGTAATTGACTTTAGTAGAGCAGCTCCCCCATAAAGAAATAGGACCATATCATGAATTTCCTTGTCAATAATATCCTAGCATTCCTCATAAAAAGTAACAAAGAACCCATATGGACCACTAGCACTTTTCCCACTAAGTTGAAACACAGCTTGTTGAACTTTCTCCATGCTAGGATAGCTGCAAAGATGAATATTCTGCTGCCTTGTCACCGTGGCTGGCGCATTAGCTAATAAAGAGAAATCAGCTGGGTCATCTTCTTGTGAAAATTGCCTTTCATAAAATTCTACAGCAGCCTTAGCCAAAGCCTCTTGATCTTCAATCCATGATCCATTACTGACTTGGATCCTCTTCAGTTGTAGCTTTTGCCTTTTTCCATTCACATGATTGTGAAAGAAACTTGTATTTCTATCTCCTTTATTGAACAAAGTCATGCCAGCCTTCTGCTTCTAATACTGCTCTCCAGTGCTGAGGTATCTTTTCAATTCAGCTTGAGCTTTCTGATGGACAATCCTATTCTCAAAAGTAGGTTCTTCTTCAAATAACATCTCTTTAACTCGTACAATATCATCCCTAATTTTCAGTTGCTTGAAAATATCTCCATAAGTCTCCTTGCTCCATTTTGACAATGCAGCTTTCACCCTCTTCAACTTTTGTTTGAACATGAGAAAAGGATCTCCAATGAAGTCCGAATACTAGTTCTACCTGACCACATCTTTGAAATTCTCATGTTTTGTCCAGAAATTTAAGAACTTAAAAGGTTTGATATAATTAGAGATTTGTTTCCCACAAGTCATCAACAAGGGTGCATGATCTGATCCAGTTCTGATGAGGTGTTCTACCTCAATTGTAGGGAACAAGTTCTGGAAAGGCAAATTCACAAAAATTCTATCCAACCTCTTGAATATGCACTGTGTATTTGGACTTCCATTCCACCAAGTGAAAGGAATAACCTTGAAGCCTAAATCAAACAGCCCATATGAGTTTACACATAACGTAAAATCATCATACTCTGGAGGATGAACAGTTAGCCCTCCAATCTTTTCATCTTCATGAAGTAGAACATTAAAATCTCCTCCTACCATCCAGGGCAGCTCCATATCACTTGCCAGAAAGTAAAGATTATCCCATAACTCCAATCTCTCCAATGAAGAACATTTGGCATATACAAAGGAATACATAATATGTTGGCCAATGTCTGGATGAAACAAGTTGATTGTAACCTGTTGATGAGATTCCATAACTAACTCCTATATTACTGTAACATCAAAAAATACCAAATCTTTCCATTTATATTAGCAAAATCAGTCTTCATATTGAGTCTTCTTCTATACCTTTGAAGATGGCTAAAATTCTGGAATGGCTCCATCAAAGCAATGACAAAAAAAAACAAATTCCCTTTGCATGTTAATCACTCTCTGGAAGGCCTGTTGTGTATTCACAGACCTTATATTCCATATTAATGATTTGATAATCATCTAGGTTGTAATACTGCCCTTTTGGGCAAAACTCTTTTTGGTAGTTGTATTTCCTTAATCAGTCCTTGCTTCTTCCCTTTCCTACCACTTTTATTTCCCAGGGTAGGAGAAAGGTCACCTTCTCTAGCTATAGCCTTTAAATTGCCAGAGGTAGATTCTTCATCCCCTTCTTCCTCTAGTTGTTCCTTCTCTAATATAATATTCTGAATGTCTATAGGCACCATATTGTGTGTGATGATGTCATGCCGGATTTGATTAGGAGATTGCAGTGGCACATTGAGATGAATCTTCATAGGATGCCCAGTTCCTGAAGCACAAGCAAGTGGGACAGCTTCAATAGCACCTGAAATTATTGGAATAATGGATTGCTCAGTTTGTTGTGGAGAGATATGTTGTATATTCTGCTTCTTATTACCAATAGATTCCTGGATAGCCCTGAATTGCAGCTCATAAATAGATCCTAAAGAAGGGTTAATTTTAGAACCAATTGCTTCGCTATGAACTACATCTGTCCCCATGTGATCATACACCATTGTTGGATCCTTCTCATCAACAGTTTGAGATTCTGCCCTCAGTGTAGCTTGATATGGCTCTGCATCATCCTTACTGACCTGCTCCTTATCTGAGATTATTACCAATGCCCATTCAACATTAGCTGATACCTCCCCAGTTGTGGTGTTGTCGAAGGTCATGCTGGATACTTTTTGATGAACCTGTGCTGAAAATGAGTTGTCTATTTTCAACAGGTGCTACTCTTGTTTGTGCTTCAGAAGTATAAAACAACTGCTGGATAGAGTATATAGTTTTTCCATTGGAATTAGGTGAATACCCGAAGGTCTGTGAAGGTACTTCCTGACATGAGTGGTTAAGGGTCACATTAACATTTTCCTTAGGCATGCCAAAGCTCCTTTGAGCCCAGTCAATTGTCATCTCCTTTGTTGTTGTAGCCTTCTGCCCAGTATCAGAAGGAGTAGATTTGCTAGACATCACAACAACATTAGGATTGGAAATTGAATTTTAAACAGTCCTCACTTGTTGTTTCTCTTGATTCATATTGGTTTCCATAATTTGCTTCTTCTGCTCTTGACCTTTGATGTTGTTCTTGGCTTTGCTATCAGATTCTGTAGTCAAATTGGTGTGAACTGCAACATCTACATTTTCTTGGAGGCACAATTGATTGGTAATAGTTGAGGGTACCTGATCACGCCCAACTATGCCTCCTAAGAGGTCTAGCGGTCATTGCAAATATAATCCGGTTTACAAGTCTGGAGTCGAATCCCACATGAAAATAACGTACTAATTACAACCAATAGTTTTGCACGAATTCAAGTAATCAACCTTCAAAAATATTATATAACAATTTGAGAGTTTACTAAATAAGATTAAAGTAATTAAAAATGCAGTAATTTATAACTAACAAAGTAAATATTGTAGACAAGATTTGGAAAAGTCTAAGGTTATGATTTTTCCTGTTGTCGGAATCTTTTCCGCTATCGTAGCTCTCTCTCGAGCAACTACCATAATTTACTATACGCATTCTCTCAAACTACGCTAGCTGGCACTAATTTACCGCTCACTATGATCGCACCAAGATTTTGTTATCTCTAATCCTGCATTTAAACCCTATGTATCGATCTCTCAACTACATTAGGAGTGGTGGTGTTCAATAACTACCAAAATGTGTACTCTCTCGAGCAATATACACACTAAATAGGCACAGTTAATTGAGAGCTCTTCAATTAACAACATTGAAAATATAGTTAAACAAGTAGAGAAAAATCAAAGGCAAATATATATTAAACGCATTAGAAAATCATCCTCCAATAGGTTCCAGCAAACCTTAGATAAGAGAATTTAGCTACTCATAAATACGACAACAATTAACATTTTGTTCAAAGACATTAAACTACAAAGTAAAGAGATAAAGGAAGGGAAAACGCGTTTGATTCTTACTCCACAGTGCTTGGCAACCCTGTTCTTCTCCAAAATCATGTCCTAACCCTATAATAACTCGTTTGGGGAATATTTATGTCAATCCCCCGGTCCAAATTTGGGTTTGGGTCTTTTAACCCACGATATTTAATTGCCGTGCTATAGACCTCGCGAAGCCTGATCTGTAGCACGGTCGACCTGACTATAGACCTCGCGAAAGCCTGGTCTATAGCGCGATCGACCAGGCTATAGACCTCGCGAAGCCTGGTCTATAGAGCGGCCAACCTGGCTATAGACTTCGCGAAACCTGGTCTATAGCGCGATCAACCTGGCTATAGACCTCACGAAGCTTGGTCTATAGCACGATCAACCTGGCTATAGACCTCGCAAAGCCTGGTCTGTAGCATGGTTTGGGTACTTGATGCTTTCGGCTCTTTTCTTGCATTTTTGTCCACGTTTTGTGCAACTTTTATTCGATGATTCATTCTAATGTTCCTACACATAAAACAATACAATTTAGCATAATTGTCGCATAATAACTCACTAAACCAACAAAATATAGGGTG